CCTTATCACCCATGATGGTCATTAGAACATGTCTCGCTTGCTTAGCAAGTGCACCTTAGCAGTTCTCGTTCAGTTTTAGTGTTACTTAGTTGTTGTTAGTAGTAGTTTGTGGTGTAGTTAGGCATTTGAGATTGTGTCCCCATATGCTTCATGCAGAACATGCCCGGGCTCCAAGGCTTCAAGCCCTGTGCCAAGAGCCTGAAGCCAATGACCTGTAGAGACCCCCACAAAGCCTTCCCAAAATGTCTTGAAGAAGCCAACCTTATGGACAATTTCCAGAGTTTCGAGCCCTGTACTAAGGAAGAGAGAGACACTCTTGCTGAAGATCCTCCTAATGAAGGTGGCTCTCTGCCCAGTGCTGGCCACTGAAGCAGCACCAGCCACCCAGAGCACACCGGCCTTGGTACAGGAGGGTCTGGGACATTCGTACTCATCTCCAGTGCGGTGGTGCCCTGCAGCACAGCACCACTCTCAGCCTCCTGTGCCTCAGAAGAAGCAGAGACCCAGCAGGGGCAGGTTTCTGTCAAGGCATGGCCTGGTCGACCATAACAATGGATCATTGTGAAAAATGGATACCCCAGGTTTCACCAAATGCATGGTGGTGGTAGCTTCTTTTCTCCAGAAGCACAGAGTTCAGGTCTATCCCTTCCTGGATGATTGGCTGATTTGGGGACCCTCTTCCATCCAGGTACTAGAGCATATATCCCTCATCCAGGCAGTCTTCTTAGATCTGGATCTTCCCCTGCATGAGGCCAAATCCATCCTGGTCCTCACCCTGACAATAGAGTTTGAAGGCACCCTGCTGGATTCTACTGTTGCCACTGCCTTTCTGCCCAGAACTTGGTTCCTAGCCATCTAGGAATCCATCCTGTGCCTGCAGGCCTCCTGGATGACCACAGCCAGAAATGGTATGAAATTTTTTGAGTTCATGGCAGAATACACGTACATCCACTCTCCAAAGGTGTGACTAGATCGGATTCACCATCTGGCCTTCCATCTGCTGGACATGGCAGTGACAGTGCCAACAGATGTCCTAACTTCCCTTCATTGATGGCTCCAGGAGAATGTGATCTGTGCCAGGATCCCATCCTGCCAACCTCTACTGTTGCTCCAACTAGTGACAGTTGCATCCGACAGTGGGCCTAAGGACACAAGATATGTGGTCCCAGACTCTCTTCATATAAACGTCAGAGAGTTGAGGGCAATTCTTTTCATGTTAGGCATTCCTTCTCCAGTTGAGGAATGGGGTGTCCTGGTCCTGTCAGACAATATAGCAACAGTGTTTTACATCAACAAACCGGGTGGTGCTCACCTCCTTCCCCTGTGTCAGGAAGCCCTCCTTCTCTGGGAGTTTTGCATAGAACAGGGTATCCACCTGGCGGTTTCATACCTCTCAGGGGATCCAGAACACCCTGGCAGATGGGTCATGAATGGTCCCTAAGAGCTAACGTCACCCTTCTCATTTTCCATATGCAGGGTGACGCTATCTTCTTTATGCTATCTTCTTTAACGATAAAGTCTTATGCTATCTTTTTTAAAGATAAAGTCAGGCTTTACCCACACCCGGCTTTCTTGCTCAAGGTGGTGTCCCAGTTCCATGTTTCTCAGGACATTTTTCTGCCTGTGTGCTACCCTAAACCACATGCTTCCAGTAAGGAACAAGCTCTACACACTCTAGATGTTAGGAGTGCCTTAGATTTTTATTTAGATAGAACAAAGACCTTCTGCAAATCCCCTCCACTCTTAATAGCAATAGCTGACGGGGTGAAAGGCTTCCCTGTTTCAGCCCAGTATCTCATCATGAACCATCTCCTCCATTAAGGCTTGTTATGACCTAGCTGAGATACTAGTCCTGCCTTTGATGGCTCATTCTACTAGGGCCCAGGCCACTTCCACCACTTGTGTTGCTCAGGTGCCTATCCAGGACATCTGTAGGGTAGCCACTTGGTCCTCGGTGCACACCTTTGTTAATTATTATGCCTTAGTGCACCAAACCAGGGATGATGCAGTCCTTGGCAGGGCAGTACTCCATTCTGTAGAAGGTTAAACCTCTGACCCCATCTCCAAGGGTTCTGGAAGTCACTTACATGGAATGGATATGAACAATCACTTGAAGAATTGAAAACTGTTACTTACCTCTCGTAACTGTTGTTTTTTAAACATACCTCATGTCCATTGCAAATCCCACCCACTTTCCCTTCATCGGAGAAGACCAGCAAGAAGGGGTGGATGGCCAGCAGGAGTGTATAGCACCACTCCAAGGGGCTCCCCTGCTGGCCCAATGGGTACTGCTGAGGGAAAAATCTTCTGACGATCTGTGCACATGGAATGACCACCCTGGTACATGGAATGAACATGAGCAATGCATCTTGAAGAACAACAGTTGCGAGAAGTAAGTAACAGTTTCTCTCCAAATGCTTTTTTTGTGTATGGAGAGGCATGCATTTTAAGGGGAATTTATGGAGTAACATATGGTGCAGTATTGTTAAGAAAAACACACTGAAACTTATATAGCTATCCTGAACAAAATGTTGTTTTCAGTTTATTGCATATGAACTCCAAAACAAGATTCACAAGAGTCCTCATTAACTGAATTCAAAATCAGTGCTTTCCATAATGGTGCCATAGGGTACGTCTACACTGCAATACTATTTCAAAATAACTAGCACTATTCCAAAATAACTTAGTCCGCATCCACACAGCAGGCAGTTATTTCAGAAGGGTGTCAAAATACTGTCAAGCTGGAGGACTTCTTACTCCGACTCCTGTAACCCTCATTGTATGAGGAATAAGGGAAGTTGGAGGAAGAGTGCTTTATTTCAAAATAAAGTGCTGTGTAGATGCTCCCTATTTCAAAATAAGCTATGCAATTGACATAGTTCAATTTGCATAACTTATTTCAAGTTAAGCCCCTGCTGTGTAGACATACCCTAAGACGAATTGTTCTCAAATCCCATGTGCAAATACATAACCTACCGGCAAAGTATGTAAACTCAAACATATAGATAACATGCAAAGTACAGTTTTCTCTCTGTAGTCATAGTCTCACCTGGAGAATCTTCACCTTTTGTACACTTCCAGGTTTTTTTTCCAGGGGACAACTCTTCATCTTATTAATTTTACCAGCGAAAACTACAGAGTAAGGTATTTCATTCATGAATAGCAGATATCTGCTCTGACATGACAGCCTTTCAGGAAATGAAGGATTACACATTACAGGATATTATCAGTAGTTCTGCAGTGGCCTGAGATAAATTCTTTAGTAAAAGAACAGAAAAATGTTGGCTGACTGTCTTTCCAGGAGTTAAGGGAATAATGCCACAATAGATGCAAAGATATATACATATTCTGAGCCACAAGCCAGAGGCTGCTTCCAAAACTGAGGTAATGATAAATTATCTATACAATAACCACAACAAGAAAACTCACCTGAGAAAAAGTTGTGCATGAAAGATAACACCTTGACCACAGAGTTGATGCTAGCTCCAAAAATCAAATAAAATTCACACTTGAGGTTACTCCACTGATTTTCTTGAAGTTACACCAAGGATTCATGGACCTGTTGTGACTACAAGAAAAAAAAACCAAAATATACCAAAAGCTAACAAATTACCAATGCCAAAACCACATGAGATTTGGCAGGTTTTAGTTTCACTCTCAGAAGGTGTTTCTGAACTAAGGAATGGGTGGCATCCTGTGAATGAGAGCTCCCTTGTATTTGTTCATTTGTCAGCCAAGCAATTCTATTTCTTATATCCCCAAAGACTAATATGCTACGTCTAGATTGCATCCGTTTTTCATAAAAGGGATGCAAATTAGACGTATCGCAATTGCTAATTAAGCAGGGATTTAAATCTCCCCCACTTCATTAGCATAAAAATGGCTGCTGCTTTTTTTCGGCTTGGAGCTTTGCCGGAAAAAAGCGCCAGTCTAGACGCGAATCTTTCGGAAAATAAAGCCTTTTCCGAAAGATCCCTTATTCCTCTTAAAAAAAGGAATAAGGGATCTTTCGTAAAAGGCTTTATTTTCTCCCTTTTTCTGAAAGATCCGCGTCTAAACTGGCACTTTTTTCCGGCAAAGCTCCGAGCTGGAAAAAAGCGGCAGCCATGTTTATGCAAATGAAGCGGGTGGGATTTAAATCCCCGCTTCATTTGCAATTGCGATGTGTCTAATTTGCATCCCTTTTACGGAAAAGCGATGCAGTCTAAACACAGCCATACGGTTGTTACCATCAAGTTCAATGTAAATGAAAAATCCCTGATTAAAAACAGAAGTGAATTGGTAAATTTATTCTGGGTGCTATAGGGTCTTCTTTGCAGTATTGTTGTAGCAACATTGGTCTCGGTATTATACAATATAGGTGAGGTAATGTATTTTATTGAACCAACTTATTTTTGTGAAAGAGACAAACATCCGAGTTTACACAGAGCAATTTTTCAGGTCTGGGAAGGGTACTCAGTGTCACAGATCAATAGAAGGTGGAACAGGCTGTTTAGTTCCACACACAGGACTCATCAGTAGTAGTAATGCATATTGTAGAAGACCATTCACAGTGAGGTGGCCAATTACACCTTTGCAGTCATAGAGGAAAATATGGGTGACTGCTGTGTTACAGATTGTTATAATAAGCCACAAATCCAGTGTCTTTCTCAAGTCCATGGGTTTTAATGTCTACCAGAATTATGAATTTAAGCTCCCGGGTTCAACTTTTGAAAATGTGCAAGTTTTGTTTGAAGATGAGGACTTGAAAGGTCAGTTAAGTAGTGGTCAATTTGAAAAGTTTTCAGCTGTAGACAATATGGTGTTTTGTCATTGAATTCACATTGAAAATTTTAGGTGTATGTGTAGCTCTATAAAGTGCTGAAGAATCTCAGAGCAAGCAAGTATGAGGAGCACTTTTCAACTTCATCATGTACATTTATGAATAAAGGAGAATAACATCTTTATAGCCAAACTATTTGAAGGGAAAACTACATTTTTCTCCTTCATTTGTTTTACAGTGCCTTCAAAGCATGCCACCCCAAAATTAAGAGCTTTTACTTTGCAACCGACTGCCTTGAAGAAATGAATAGGTAAGTTACTTATATTCTTCATAGGAGTACTGTAATAATTTTATTGGGATATGGAATAGCACAATATAAAGAAAATATGCCAGCTTTGTAGCAGGTTAGACTCACTACCACAGTGCCTCCTGCTGGTCATGCTAGGAATTAGCTCAGAGCACAGTGTGCACAGCCTTCTGGTCAGTGTCTTACCTGTCATCACTCTGTTCTCCTGTCTCCAGCCTCTGGATCTTTGTAGAAAAGTACAATGCCAGGAGAAAGAGGGGGGTCAGGTCCACTCACTACTCTAGGTCCTGACCTAAAGACCTTCTAGCGCAGCCTCCTTCTGTCTTCCTTTATTCCTTGGTCCACTTCCCTGTAGCCCTTGTCGTGCTTTATGCAGTATTGCTATGCCATTCTTTAAAAGTAAAAACAAGTTTATAAAAATCCATACAAAAACTGACATTTTTTAATATTGCCTTAACCTTAATGTTGAGGTTGCCCTTACTTTATTAATTTTAAGAAAATTAAAAATTAAAAATTGATTAATAAAAGAAAACCAGGGCAAGGGTTGTTGGAAATTGTGTTATTTATTGTGGCAGAAATATATATAAACATATTTGTAATAATTAAAATATTTTTGAACTTTGCAAGAAATGGTATTCATAACATGATTATACCCCAAACATAATAGTTAATAGTGTGGTACCACATTTAAAAAAAAAAGTAAAAAATTGACTTTTGTTGCAACAAAATAAAAATAATAAAAACAAATAGTTATGTGGCTCACAGCATACAACAAAAGACAACATATATGACATATAGGATAACTTACAATTAAAAAACAAAGGGCACCAAAATTACATTTATAACTAAACAAAATAAGACAAACAAAAAAATGTTTAAAAATGGAAAAATAAAAAAAGGATTAAACATTTAAATCAGCAAATTATTACCTTATTTAAAACTTTTAATAAAATTATACAAGTTTCTATTAATATTAGTCAAATGTGTTGTATTAATTTAGTAACTTATGGCATTGTCCATTACTATATATTAAGCTTTATTTTAAAACTCTGTTTTACAGGTGAATTGAAAAGAAATAAGAAATAAAAAAAAAATGTTTCAAATTCTAGCCAGTGGTTAGGATTAGAAGCAGAATCTGCATGTTTGTTGCTTAGCAACCTTATCTTCAGGAAAGCTGGGAGTAAATTCCAGCTGTTGCATTCTTGAAGGGTTAAAATAATCAATTTACTAGTTTTATTCAAAGTAAAGTTTTTAACCTATTTTTTTCCTTGTTTTGGTTTAATTCCTTTATATTTTGAAAGTTTCTGTAAAAACTAACTTTTAACAGAGAGAGAGTCAAAGGGAGAAGAGGTGGGGGAAAGGGGAAGGGAGTGAGGAGCAACTTAGGTTAAATGGTCGTTTTTCCGGAAAAAGCTACACTTACGTCGACACTGCAATTGCGTTCTTTCGACAGAAAGTCGAAAGAACGGAGGGATTTTTCCAACAGCGGTAAACCTCTTTCTACGAGGAAGAAGCCTTTTTCCGAAAGACTTCTTTTAGAAAAAGGCATGTGTGGATGGGGAAATTTTTAAAAAAAATTTTTTTTTTAAGAAGAGGCCTCCAGGAAAAAGCACAGGTGCCCTAGTGACCACTCCATCCATGGTAATCACAACTTAAATGCAAGACAGAGTCCAATCAATGTGAAAATTTCCTAAGCCTGTTGCTTTGCAGCAAGGGACGGCACTTCTCGCTTTCGCAGGGTTTCTACAGCCTTTTCCAATCTCTTATTTTCCTTACTTGTTCAAGCAGATCATGTGTTTGGATTGCCTGTTTCCCTGTCAGCAGGGCTTGAGCTTTCCAGTGCTCTGCTGCTTGTGTTGCTTCTTTTACTTCCCTAGTCTGTTCTATTGGGAGGCTACTTGTGTGGCATGCTGTTTAAGCCATCTCATTGCCATAGTCATGAGTTGCAAAATCCTAGGCTTTTTACTACTATAAGTATTTTTCAGTGCTTCAGTTTCTGCCCTGGCTCTACATTTACTGGTCCCTGTCTTCCCACACTCTTTTTTGATCTGATATGGCCCTCCTTTCCTGGCAATACAACAGGTCCATATTTCATAAAAAAATTGTCCTGTGCTCTAAAAGCCACACATTTCAGATCACTTATCAACAAATGTGATTGCTTCTCCCAACAAATTCTATTTTATAATTGTTCTCAATGTCACTTTTATCCTCCCTAATCTTTACAGCTGACACTTAACAATGTTGAACAGCATATTTTGACCAAAACTCTCAAAGGTGAGTTTGCCTTCTGTGTGGGCAAACCTTAATGTATATATACCTGGTGCATGCACAACAGCTGTTATCACATTTTCTGGTGGGTGAGAGGTGCATGTGTAATCCTTGCTTGTTTGCAAATAGTAAGGATTCACATGCCCAGATTGGGTGTAGACACTTAGACATTCACATCTTTGAAAACTAGGGCCATGGACATTACAGATACCGACTCTTCCATTGAAATCCATAGACTGGGATAAGATCAATAATGCTGTATAACTTTACCTGCCTTGAAAGTATGGATGCAATGTTCCCCCTGGTTCTTTTTTGAGTGGCCTCTGCATATTCCCATTCATAGGAGTGTGCCATCTGATGCAACCTAGTTGGTAGAACCTTCTCCCTCTTATCCCTTATATGAAGTTGGTAATACATTTATCAGTTTGCTTAGAAAGGGGTAGACAAGAAGCTAGATTGGCCCAAATAGCTTTCATGGGCTGTTTTTTAAAAGCACCCAAATTAGGCAGAGAACCTATTTTTGAAGGAGTTCCCAAAATATCGAACACAAGATGCTTCCTCCACAGCAGCAAAAAGGTCACTTTAATATTGAAAGTAGACCAGCTTTCACAATTTGAGAGCAGCTTGTGAGGGAGAAAACAGAGGTTATGCCTCCTTTTTTAGAGCCCTATAAATCCACGAATATCTGCTTTGGATCCACCAGTATCTGCACCCACATATCTCTGGCTCATTTTTCTGAATACAAACTTTGTGTCTAGAATGTTGCAAATTTGCACATATCTGCTTTATATCCATGGGTATCTGCATCCACATTCAAATAGCCTCAGATCATCTTTGCAGACGTAGATACCAATTCTGTATTTGTGCATGGCTCTGTCCATTTTCATTTGGGGACAAATGTGATTCAGTCTCAATCTTAAACTTTTGATGTTTGTTATCTTCTTTTAATAAATATCACCTATTACAACAGGAGCAAACTGACAAATCTAGAGCTACAGAATCCAGAGGCATCGATATGGTCTCATTCTTACCAATGGGACCGCTCCTTATCAGTCTTTTTGGGGAGATCCCATACATTTCCTAGATGGAAGCACTACAGCCATTGAGTACAAGGCTGCCATTCTTACCAAAACAACCCCTCTTGGAAACATGCCAATGTGATAAGGAAATTCAAATAGTCCATAAACCATGACCTAGGTAATTGGAACCTAAGATGTCTAGGTTGAGCAGACCTGTCCTGATCCTCTTCTGTTGCGGATCCAATCTTGGAGAGGTAACAGAGCTTATAGAAGAAAACATCCAAACCAGAAAATGGATAACTTTGAATTGATAGGTTGCACATTAGGAAAAACTGTTTCACTAGGAGGGTGGTGACGCACTGAAATGGGTTACCTATGGAGGTGGAATCTCCATGCTTACAGGTTTTTAAGGCAAGGCTGAAAAAGCCCTGGCTGGGATGATTTAGTTGAAGTTGGTCCTGCTTTGAGCAGGGGGCTGGACTAGATGATCTCCAGAGGTCTCTTCCAGCTCTAATCATCTGTGAGTCAATGACAGAAAGATTTGCCCGGGTGCATATACACTGCACCGTAGGTCAAAATACGATACACAATTTGAGCTACCAAAATTGCATATCTTATTTGATCTTATTTTGAAATAGCTTATTTTGTAATTTGGCACTGTCTACACAGCATTTATTTCAAAGTGAATCGCTATTCCAAAATATACCTTACTCCTTGTGGAATGAGGTTTACAGGGAAGTCAGAATAGTGAGCCCATTATGTTTTGAAATAATGGGCACGCTCAAAAGATACCTCTGGTATCCTGAAATAGCGCTGCAGTGTAGACATCGCTAGAATGTCCCCTAACCCGCATCTCTAAAGAGGAGTAAAAGATTGAGAAAAGATTCAAAGTTGAGAGACACATTATTGGAACCCATTCTTGTTGCTCTTCTCTGTACCCTTTCCAATTTCTCCACATCTTTCTTGAAATGTGGCGCCCAGAACTGGACACAGTACTCCAGCTGAGGCCTAACTAGTGCAGAGTAGAGCGGCAGAATGACTTCACGAGTTTTGCTTACAACACACCTGTTGATACAACCTAGAATCATATTTGCTTTTTTTGCAACAGCATCACACTGTTGACTCATATTCAACTTGTGGTCCACTATGACCCCTAGATCCCTTTCTGCCATGCTCCTTCCTAGACAGTCGCTTCCCATCTTGTATGTATGGAACTGATTGTTCCTTCCTAAGTGGAGCACTTTGCATTTCTCTTTATTAAACCTCATCCTGTTTACCTCTGACCATTTCTCTAACTTGCTAAGGTCATTTTGAATTATGTCCCTATCCTCCAAAGAAGTTGCAACCCCACCCAGTTTGGTATCATCTGCAAACTTAATAAGCGTACTCTCTATCCCAATATCTACATCATTGATGAAGATGTTGAACAGTATGGGTCCCAAAACAGACCCTTGAGGAACTCCACTTGTTATCCCTTTCCAGCAGGATTTAGAACCGTTAACAACAACTCTCTGACTACGGTTATCCAGCCAATTATGCACCCACCTTATCGTGGCCCTATCTAAGTTATATTTGCCTAGTTTATCAATAAGAATATCATGCGAGACCGTATCAAATGCCTTACTAAAGTCTAGGTATATGACATCCACCGCTTCTCCCTTATCCACAAGGCTCGTTATCTTATCAAAGAAAGCTATCAGATTAGTTTGGCATGAC